CAACAGTTATCAATACCAAGAAGTCCTTGATTTATTTAAACATCACAAAGTCTCAGAGTCCTTGGTTCTTCGGTATGCCTATTTTCCTTTTGTTTTTAGGATTTTTGTCCCACTTCGTAATGCAGGTTGATGATTTCAGCAACCCCGTGTTATACTGTGTTGTTGTTTCAGTCAACTACTGTTTTACACATTTCCCATATGAGTGCCAAAACCAGTTATTTGTACGAGAAAACCGAGAATGTGATAGAAGTCTTTACTGGCTAACTGAATGAAGAATATACACACTTTTTATTCGTCAATATACAGATAAATGTCATTCACAAAATTAAGCAACAAATTCAACCATAAGTTTGTGTCCAATCGCATAGAAAAAAGCAAATCTTGAACTGTTGCGTGATCCTGTCAATTTCGTTCTCTTATCAATTAGCTCATGTATGATTGCTTCATCATACCACCTTTTGGTTAGGGAAGAGAAGTCTCTGATTTCGGCCCAACTATAAGGATTAAGGTCGATATTATATCAATAAATTTTATATAACTTAAACTACTGTTGCTTAGTTAACAGCATATTGCTGTGTTTTATACCAAGTGAGACTGAATTAAATGCTAATGGTGACTTCTTCTCTGTTTTACGACATGGTTATATATATGTATATTTATACCGTCAAATGGGTTTCTAAGTGAAAAGATCCGTGGAGGATAACCGGTCAAACACAATATTATTAATATGAAGCTATTTTCACCCTTGTGGAATAATTAAATACCTTAGTCCTGTTTGATTTATATGTTAGTGATTTTGTACAGAACAACAATCAAACATTGAAATGAAAATAGTGAATTCAGAGAATGTAATACCATCATGAAATATAATGTACATTTAGTACCAATCACATTTTGTTGGTTATATTCAACAAATAAAACGTTAAATACATTTGAATCTGATTTAATTTAAATTAAATGTCTTAGACAACCTGATGATAATGATTGACCTGATTATTTCTTTAAGGCGAATGTGATTCCATTTATTGAAACGTTGAATCACTCTCAAGCCTATGTAAGCTGATATATTGGTGAAAAGCGACTTTGGAAATCTAAAATATTATGTAGTCCACATTGTTTTCACAGTTTATTATTCTGCTACCATTCAAATAAAACAAACACTTAATCTTGCATTATTCAGAATTCGATTGAATAAAGTCAGTCACAGGCAAAGTGGCTCTATGGTTAACGTCTCAAGAACCGTGTGACTAGATGAATCAAGTTCGAATATTATAGTGAGTTCCAGTCTCCTTAAAATTGGAATAATGTATTTCTGATGGATGCTAGCTAGTGCAATATGTAGATCTGAGTACCATACAGTAAATATTTCATTTGCAATATGTCAATCAATGGTTTGAAATTTCATTGTTTTTTCGTTTCCAAACTAATCATTTTATGTTCTCATTTTCTTTTCTTTGATCTTCTAAACCTCCTGCCACTATATATTTCGTTTTCTGTCGGTGATACATACTTCTTCGATACAAACTACTTTAACACTTATTATTCGAAATTCAAGGAATGATTATAATTTATATAGGTTAGAAGTCAGTTGTATGATTTTGAAATAAAGGTAAGGATTATAGTGATTTTACTGTGCTTTTGTCTAACTACTCTACAGTGAAACATATTTTAGGGTGAAACGTGAATAGGAATAGTAATAGTAAGCAATAGTTTAATAAGCTCAATTTAAATGTTCAATGAAAACTCGTTATCTTCTCAACGTAACATTGGTAATGCAGACGCAATACATCTTATTTGACTGGGTGTTGGTGTGCCAATCAACATTTAACCCAATATACATCTCAAACTCCATATATGAACACCTTTTGTATAATCGATGTATGGACCAGAGATTGTCAACAGGCGTTCGATGCTTTGAAGGCACGGTTAACCTCCTTACCCATATTGGCCGTCCCGGATACTTCAGCAGACGGAGGCGAATTTACACTTGATACGGATTCTAGTGTAGCTGTAAATAATTCCCCAAAATCAATAGGTCATTAACTGTTCGACATTGGATGCTGACCACATTGTTTAAGTGAACTTGTTTAACTGAAGTCTTTCGGTCATGCATCCGTACCAGATCACGTTACGATCCAGCGTGGGACACAGCTCCTACATTCACTAGCCAAATAAGAGTAAACGCTTCTCGATATATTGATAACGCATCAAATATATCTTTCCTACCTCTTCTCATCTGACTTCTGATTTCAACTGGTTGGGAAACACTTCGAACACAGAAGGTGTTACTGGTTTAGAGTTGCAAAACTTCAAGACTAGTTGTATCTCCACTAGTTTCTCGGCTATTGGAGCAGTTGTAACACAAGTAGCTCGACATGAACAGGAAGGAGTCATCGCGTGCGCTAGTCGTCAACTGGATAAGAGTGGAGCAAGATGTTCCACAACACGTCGAGAGATGTTAACATTATCAAAATTCTTACAACACTTCCGCCATTACTTACTAGAGAAACCCTTCCGTGCATTACAGTGCCTCTGCTCCTTCCGCGAACCAGAAAGGCAAGTAGCACGCTGGCAGGAACGATTACAAGAGTTCGACTTCATATGCGAGTGTCGACCGGGAAGCCGACATACAAACGCAGACGCCCTTCCCTGCATACCTCAGACTGCAGGTACTGTTAAGGCAATTCTTAGTACAGCCCTAGAGACTGAATGGTTTTCTCTGCAAGACAACAAAAAATAGGGACGTTACTTAATTCATTAGGTTTGCGCGTATTCTGACTGAGTCTGGTACCAAAATCCACGATTATAGATGATTGAAGATTCCAGTAAGGATGATGTCCTCCCAGTGGTATAACCAAATGTTGAATACGATTTATTCCGATTATAGCTTACAAATGCAGACAGTATTTGGTTTAGAGTTCAGTTAACACAATGGTGAGTGAATGGAGAACAAGAGGTGTGTGTATAGCAGTGTATTTGTTAGCAATTAACAGAGTATTCTCTGAATACTTTAGCAATGTATACACCATAGAAACACCCTTCTCACCAGTCCATGAAAATCCCTCCACATAAACACTGGACAGCGTGACCATTAAAGAACTCGATGTCTTTGGTCTGCTAGTTAAGCTTGACATAGGTAAATCCACTGGACCAGATGAACTGCATCCTAGGTTACTAAAGGAATTAGCTAACTTTGTTGCGAATCCTTTAAGTGTATGTTTTAATCTATCCGTAACCCAGGGTCGTCTACCGAAAGACTGGAAGAACGCCATAGTAAGTCCAGTCTTCAAAACAGGTACAAAACATAAGCCTGAGAATTACCGACCAATTAGCCTAAATAGTGTGGTTGTTAAAATCTTAGAAAAGATTATTCGGAAGGAGCTGTTAAAGTATCTCGATGAAAACCGGATCCTCTCCGAAAAGCAGCATGGTTTTTAGAACATGTTACTCTTGTCTCACAAACTTATTAGTCGCTCGTGAAAGCTGGTGAACTCTTAAGGACCAAAAGTTACCTACAGACGTAGCTTACATCGATTTCAGCAAAGCTTTCGACAAAGTTCCGCATAACCGGCTGTTATATAAGCTAAGGAATGTCGGGATTGAAGGCAATCTATTGATGTGGATAAAAGACTTCCTAGTTAGGCGTCAAAAAAGAGTAAGGGGAACTCCAAGTTGTCTAACTGGGAAACTGTGCTCAGTGGAGTCCCCCAGGGTACAGTTTTATGGCCAGTGTTATTCCTCCTGTACGTAAATGACCTCCCTCGTCTACTATTGTCATCGGTCTTACTCTATGCTGACGATGACAAGATATGGAGAGCGATACAAAGCAAGGGCGATAGCTTAGAACTTCAAAACGACCTGCAGAGATTATCTGAATGGTCCCAAACCTGACAATTGCCGATAAACACTTCCAAGTGTATTGTGATGCATATTGGCCACCAGGGTACCAATACATACACAACAAATAACACTGAGTTACCTATTGTCCAGGCACACAACGACTTAGGCATCATCGTTAGTCAAGACTTAAAGACTACTGCACACTGCTGCGCAATAGCCGCCAAAGGTTTTAGGACTTTATGGTCCATACGCAGGGCTTTCAGGCATCTCGACGCTAAAACTTTTCTGACTTTGTATACAGTGTTCGTACGCCCTAAACTTGAGTACTGCATACAAACAGCTAGCCCCTGCCTAAAAAAGACAGTGAACTCTTGGAAAGGGTTCAGAGAACAGCAACTAGGCTGATTCCCGGAATAGCGAAGCTCCCGTATGGTACTAGACTGACCAAGCTAAACCTACTCCCGCTGTCATACAGAAGAATGGGAGGCGACTTGATTACAGTTTTCAAATTGCATAATGACAAATTTGCACCTGATATGCCCTCATTTTTCTTGTCTTCCAAAACAGAAAATCTACGAGGACACTCCAAAAAAGTTCAAAAAGTTCACAAGCCCAGAACGAATTACTTGTCAGCTGACTACCGACTTTCTCATCGAATAATCAACGAGTGGAATTCATTACCTCAGCATGTGGTTGAAGCTCCATCCGTCGACTCCTTCAAAAGAAAGTTGGATCAGCTGAGAGACCATCATTGCCAGGACTAACACAGGCCATCAAGCCTCCTGTCCTTTCCAAACTAAAACTGAATACCTTAATCTACCTAAATACCATTTTAACGTTATCGCTGGTCAGTTCGTGTTGAAAATATCATATCTAATTCCTAACCCTATCATTGAACTGTAAATCCGATACCTTATTCCTCACACTAATAAATAACCCCCACCTAACCCTGTTAAGTAAACGGACGTCTCAAGGTTATTTCAGCGTTGCCCGAAGGTCATACATAAATCGTAGTCCTACCCTATTACCTTACCGATTGACGGCTCTGTATCTACCCTAGTAAGTGGTTTAATTCCAGGTGTTTCTATAGTTACGGTACACCCGGTGAATGAACCTGATGTCCTGTTTTTGTAAAGACGAAGGTATCAAAAAGTGGTTGACCAATATATTGGTTGTTTGGGGGTATATACTCTGAAGTTCACGCAGGGCTACCGTTCCTGGACGATAACGATGTGGTTTTTTAACACCACCTGTAGCTGGTGCACTCTTACGCGCAGCTTTAGTAGCCATTTGCTTCCGTAGCGCCTTCCCACCCGTACTTTTGCGAGCAGTTTGCATCGTGCGTGCCATGACTGTGAAGACACCTATGATCAGATACCAGTGATTAGCCTGACTAAAATGTAAATATATTTCCACATCAAAACTCAATGTCAATCCGGCACAACTCAACAATAATAAGGATAGGAGAACATGTAGTTCATCTAACGTCTATCAGACTATCTACAAGTCTGACTTGGTAAATAAGCGATCCTCACCCACACATCAATGTCCAACCATTTTTGACAGATGAATATCTCGCCCATGCGACAAGTGATGTAAATTAACGAAAGTCTAACTAAACTTCTGAGATGATGGAGACTATTCGTAGCCCACGATAAGGGTAACGGAAGCATTTTATTCTCTGAGTTAGATAGTTTAGTCATGAAGTGTTCATTATCTTCCCGCAAACCAACATATTATATTTGTCTTTAATGTGTGTTCTGGTGTTGTTCCGAAGGATAGTGAAAGCTTCATGAGCTTTTGGGTTCCGTTTGAAGATCTCATCACATGCCAACCCACAATGTATGGTGAGATATTAGCTACTGCATACTTCTCTTAATATCGTACCTAAAGGTAATTTGGTGGTGATAGCATGAATGTACGATGATAATTTAGAGTGATCTTGTCTATATCTGAACATAAGTTCCTACAATTTTATATTCACTCTTCTGTTGTTTGTTACAGATCAGTCTAGTAATGTTCAAGAAAAATAAAATACGTAAAACTCAAACTAATAAATCAGTGAACTCATCCATATCAAATTTAGCAGTTTGTAGTAATGAATCGAAAATAATAAATAATAGGAAACGTATACGTGATGGAACTCCTTTGTCTTCTGCATCATTTCAACCAAATGCAATACCGTTTACAACTAGTTCATCATTTATTCCTACTAGTTCCACACTGTCCTCTTCATTGTATATGGAAAACTTGTCAGTAAAGATTTGGGAATTATATGGTAGAACAAAACAAAGTCCTCTAAAATATAAAAAGAAAATTTGTCTGCTTAATGCTTTGCATATGGTTATATCAGGTGTGTTCGAAAGTAAGTAAAACCATTTTGAAAGAGTACCTTTCTTATCTATAATCATTATATGTAACTTAGTTCACAAGAATTTAGACTTAAATTAACTCATTCACCGGGTGCTCAGGTATGAGCCACATTATAATTGTGAAAACTAACAATAATATCGAAGTAGGTAAGGTGGGGTTCAAAACGGAAACTTAGTGGCTGAACTTTGAAAGCCTAAACACTAAATCACCTTATTTGTGTAACAAATAGGTACTTTTCTAAAAAATTAATCACTTTGTGAGCGGGGGTATATATTGATATGTACGTAAGAAGTAATTATACACATAATTTTCTAAAATTCCCTTATGGTAAATATGCGTTTAGTTGTGAAATTGTTATGAGTAATTTACAGCTAGTTTTGCTACAGCTCTTTTTATATACAATCAGGCACCGACTCCGTAATTAATTCACTCACTTGACTTTCAACCATTAGTCTAAGTGTTCAAACTTCATCCCATCATGTTCCGTACGGGGAGATTGTCAGTGTCGCTAACCTCTTCACCGATTCCACATATATGTGCTTGGTAAATAACTCACATAATAAGCGGGAAATTTTAATATTATCACTGTTAGAGATATCTTTGTGCTGGTCTCTGGAGTAAAAAGTTATCAGTTACTGACGAAACTAACGCTTTAATTATTATACTTATTTGAAATATACCTAAAGCGCAGTTTGAGATCCCAGGAGAAATATCGTCTGTGGATTCTCTTTACCGGTGTGTAGAACAGTTGACCTGGGACTAAAGGATCCAAATTTCGGCCACTAATTCATGGGCTGAAACCACACAATCTCTGGCTTGGAAAACAGGGTATTATCATTAGGCCTTCTTATACAGAATATAACAATGCTAACTAAACGAATCTGCACCTGGTAAATGAACCATATGTGACTTTCCAATGTAATGAAATGTTGATCCACAACTTCCTGCCGACTTCCTCCGACAATATGTTCATTTACCAGCAAAGTTAACCCATAGAAATCGTCTTGATGATTTTTGTTTTAAATACTGACCTTTATAGGGGAATTTTGTATTGATATCTAGAATTTTAGGTTTTTATTGCCTCTCAAGCTTTTGAGAGAGCATTCAAAACATTTTTTACACGACATAAAAAATGTCTAACTGCATTGAAAGGTAATCCAAACTTTTAAATATTGATTTCATTCAAGTCTTTCATATATCTTATCTTTTTTATATTATCACTAATGTTAAGTGGATTTAGAAAATACTTGAAGCTCATCTGATAAATATTAATAATAGCATTAGTCAGTTATCAATTAGTTAAGTCGTCGATTCTGGACAATCACTAGTTGAATTGTTTCTTTAAATCTTAACCATTTCAGTCCTGGAGTTATCTATCATGAGTGGTAATTTTTCTATGAAGCTTAAAATATTTAATCCCAGTTCATTTCGAAGTGAAAAAGTGCTAATTGTTGTTGAACACCTTCATGGACCGACAATAAAACCCATTATATCTCAGCACGGATTCAAAGACCTCGTTTGGCTTTCGCCAACTTACGTCACCTATGGCGAAGACGAGGTATCTGTCTATCAATTAAGGGACGAGTATACTGTGCAGCAGTTCGCTCTGTTCTACTTTACGGCTGTGAGACATGGCCATTAAGAGTAGAAGATACCCGCAAGTTACTAGTATTTGACCACAGATGCCTTAGAAATATTGCTCGCATCTTCTGGGATCACCGGGTAAGTAATAGTGAGGTTAGACACAGAGTATTAGGGAATGATGGTAAATCAGTATATGAGGTGATGAATCTTCATCAAATAAGATGGTTAGGCCACGTGTTACGTATGCCTGAACACCGGTTATCACGACGCGCTATGCTGACTAGTGTAGGGGATGGTTGGAAAAGAGTTAGGGATGGACAAATCGAAACGTGGCATTAGTGCTTGAAGCCACTGACTTCTAGTCTTAGCCATGTTGATAGATGCAGACTACCTGGTTGTGGTCCGTGTGACTACCGTAACCAATGGTTGGAGACTCTAAGTGACATGGCTCAGAATCGATCACAATGACGCAGGTGTATACGCACTTTATCTTCCCTTAAACCTTGAGAATAAAATTGCTTCATAACGTTTTTCCTTCCTATACTATATCCTTATATACAACCTATCTTTTATATACTGCCACCACTAAATTAACTACTTCTATGAATCCGGTGTTCATCTTGCTGTGCTAACGAGGTATAGCAACTTTGACCGATGCATAAATGTGCCTGGTCCTACGTTGTAGCTGACTGACTGACTGAGGGATTTGTATCGTTTCCTCAATTGTTTTCCATAACAGAATTAAAGTGAAGAATTATTCCATAATAATTCAGTACACTTTCTTCCACCCTTGTGCTTTTTTTCTTAAAAAAAAATAGATGCTGGTTTGTATATTGTTGGCTCTTCAATAAATGGTTTCGGTTCAAATCAAAGTGATATGGATATGTGTTTACTTGTAACATCACGGGATTTACATCAGAAAAATGAAGCTACATTTATACTGAGTCGACTTTTACAATCTTTAAGAAAGTGTCGTAAGTCTTAGTTATATTACCATTACTACTGCTAAAAGCCACTACAACATAGTTTGAAAGATAGTTTCGAATTTGTTGATAGAATGAAAGATTTGAAGGTGAACAAGAAATTCATGATGCCACTTAATATATCCTCTTTATTTACAAACTTACCTTTCATAGAAACAGTTGATTTCATATCTAGTGAGTTACAGAATCGAGAAGTGGGAACTGGCATTCCAGTTTCCTCATTAAGGCAATTAATACTCAGATGTATTATGAATGTATATATTTTGTTTAATAAAGAAATCTACAAACAATGCGACGGTGTCGCTATGGAGTCACCACTAAGTCCAGTCTTAGCTGATTTCTTTCTGGCAAAATTAGAAAACGGTCATCTCAAATGAGTGATTAGCAAACTAGAATTTTATTTTCGTTACATGGATGATGCATTTATAGTCAGAGAAACAATGGCAAAGCTCAGAGTCTACTAAAAACACTTAATAGAGCCCACAAGACAATCACCTTTACAATCGAAGAAGAAAAGTACTACACCATATCCTTTCTAGATGTACTGATGGGTCCATAAGAAGTATTTTTCGTAACTCCACGACACAAAGCCAATATACACAATTTCCTACCTTCATCCCATTACATTATAAGAGAAACTCAGTCAAGTGTTTGACCCACAGAGCTCAAATTATTTATTGAAAGGATAATCTTAAAGAAGGACTAAAGCTGTCGAATCATTAGTTGTATATTTTTGTGTAATTATTAGACAATTAGTTTATGATACGGTAATTTTTCGTTTGGCGCATAATTTATTATTGTATATTTTATCTTTCTCATGTTATTATGGATTAACTGACGAACCTATTATTTGGTTCCTTTTTTATTTGAGGTGTAATTATAGTCAAAAATGCAATTTTCTATTCCTATTACTCTGTGATTAGGAATTTACACTATATTATACTATGAATCATGTAATGGGACGGATATACAATATAAAGATTTTATTTAATTGTTAGTTCGATCTCTCGATTGGACATTGAGTTAGAAATAACTAATAGACTACTAGACATTTAAGTCTCTTTCATTGTTCATTGGTAAAGTGGGTTATTGGTCCTATTGTAGTGGACGAGAACACAAGTGCGGATAATCGAATATATTCGAACACAAAATTACAGAATATCTTAGTAAAATCTGAGAACCATACAGTAAATACTTTATTTGAGCGTATCGACCGCTTCACTTATCTTGGGAGTCTCGTCAGCCCTTGTGGTCTGGTGTGTGATGAGATCTCAGCACGGATACAGAAGGCTCGTCTAGCTTTCGCCAACTTGCGTCATTTATGGCGTAGGTGAGATATCTGTCTAGCAACCAAAGAACGGGTTTACTGTGCAGCAGTTCGTTCCGTCCTACTTTATGACAGTGAAACATGGCCGATAAGAGTAGAGGATATTCGTAGGCTACTAGTATTCGATCATAGGTGTCTTCGAAGCATTGCTCGTATATCCTGGGTCCCCCGGGTAAGTAATGCAGCTGTTAGGAAACGGGTACTAAGTAAGAATGGCTAATCGATTAATGAAGTAATGAAATTTCATCGGTTGATATGGCTACGACACGTGTTACGTACGCACAACCACCGACTGCCCCGACGTGCGATGTTTTGTGGTGTAGTAGTAGGTTGGAAGAGAGCCTTGGGCGGCCAGACCAAAACGTGGCACAAATCCATGAAGTCAGTGACAAGTGGACTGAACCATGTTGGTAAGTGTAGACTACCTGGTTGGGATTCGCGAGATGATAACAATTGATAGTTAGAGACCTTGAATGACATGGCGAAGGTGCATCCACTCTTTGTGTTTTGCCAAATTCTAATCTTCTGAGTTCCTCATGTACGTTTGGTTTCTTGTCACATTTTCTCTACAATATTTTTTATTTTGTGTTATTATCATTCTATTTTTCATTAGGTTTCCTTCATAATTTCAGTTTAATTCGTGCTAAAGTTCCAATTATAAAATTTCGTGATAAATATACCGGGATTGATTGTGATTTAAATGTAAATAATGTAATTGGATTATATAATACACATTTATTAGCTATGTATGCAAAAGGTAATTGAAATTCAATGCTGATGTTTCTTTTTCTCTTTATTTAAACACATAAACATTGATACATAGGGGCACTGAAATTTATATGTGCCACACAAATCATTGAATTTACATATGAGCTGGGATATACTAGCCGGGTGCCCAAACTGAAGCAGGTGGTTTTCTTAGAGAGCCATTCTCTGAACCTTAGACTCAGAGATTTAATCCACTAAACAGTGGATCAACATTACGGAATGCGGTCTTGTGGTAGCTGGTGATCACGAATGGATTCATACACCATTTATCCCCTTACGGACCCTGGAGTCCATGTGCACTATTTGTTTGGAATTAGGGTTCTCCAAATCCCTTCTACATGGATGCTCTGTACCCACCAATCCTGTTTAAGCTCCGGCCAGAAATTCTCTTTTCATCCTCCCAATTTTGTAAACAACATTCGCTGAAAGAATCCGTGACCGCTACAGTTCAAAACTGTTAAGTGTGAGACAGTAGACACCGTAGGCAATGGGTGATGGTTGCACTATACCTTGGTTTGAATATGTATATATATATATATATATCATTAGATCCCAGCCCAGTGGTCTAATGATTAAACGTTCATGTGCGAGACCGAATGTTCTGGTTTTGAATCTTGAATATTAAGTTGTGGATGCACTCTGCTGAGTACTAGTCCAATACTAGGACGAAACAGCTGCTCAGTGGTTCCTGGATTTCAGTAGTTATCTAAATAAGGTTAGTCCGTGATTTGACGTGGCGTTTAATTAAATTGGGTTATCTCACTCACCTTCTCCACTGAGCGTCATTTTGTCTCGCTTTGCTTCGCTCTATCCTTTTTGCTTCCTTCACTTCGTTTCTTTGATCGTCTGGATCAACGAGTGTACAAAATATACGTACTCAAACATACTTCTCGTATTTGGCTTATTTTTATTCCTTTGTTCTCTAAGTCGAATTAAGTCGATAATTACATACGAAGATTGGCAGCGTGTGTACTTCGATAATAATCAGCAAACTACTTAACTGGAGTCAGATACAGGGGCCGCAGAAGTGGTTATCCCGTCGATACCATCGTCATCCGATGTAATTGGTCTCAAAATGAAGAGTCACGCTAAAACATAATTGGTCATGATGATTGCTTCGTGTTGTGATTTTATTATGGATCATTGAATTTCTCTTTTCATTTCTGTTAAAATCTGTGACAATAATAATACTAATAACAAAATTTACTTAGTATTGTTTGTTTGGATCTTCCCATCGATGTTTTTAGGACTGCAACTGGTCAGTCTCTAATTGGTATATGTACATACTGTGCGTATTGCCTCGATATAGCTTAAATTCACAAGCATGGTGAGCAAAGATGGATAATGGCTTCACCCCATTGCACAAGCAAGTGGCTATCAGGACTCAGTGGCCCAGTGGATAACGCGATGGCGTTTGAAGCGAAAGGTACTGGGTTCGAGTGTCAGACTGAACAGCAACAAGTCTGGGATGCAGGTACATCCAGATGACGAGTCCCATGTAGAACGAAATGCGCGTCCTAGATTCCATTGCTAGCCACTATCCATCTTTGCTTACCAATACTAATAATAATTATTCGCCTAATCTATTTTCTTTGTTTCTATTATTTTTGAAAAAATTCAGTTGATTGGCGTGTTAGACCATTGGGAATTTTCATTAAACATTGGGCTCAATGTATGGATATCCATGATGCTCAACGTGGTCGTCTATCCACTTATTGTTTACTTTTAATGCTTATTCATTATCTTCAAACTGCTTGCATTCCACCGGTCCTACCTAATTTGCAAGAAAAATTCCCAGTATGTGTGTGCGTATATTTTCGATCTTGTATCATCGGACTAAAAAAATGCTTCTGGTCGTATTATTACTGTAGACATCAGTTAGGAAAAAGCTAGAGGGTAACCACACCGAAACAGGGTTTTTGGTTTATGATTTTATTGACCGTTTGGAATAAAAAACAATAATGGTTCCAAACTAAATGGTTATGGGGACCATATGATAGCTACTATCAGTGGTTAAAGAGCAATAGGGTGATATCCCTTCAAAATCGGTCGCCATATGACGTAACTTCATTCATTGATTGTATTGTCTTTGACCTTGAGTTTCAGTATTGTTTTCGTTCTGTTTTTCTTTTTGAACCATCTTCATCTCAACTTCTTTTTTACTTGTCTTGTTCACTTTATATCGTCTTACTGATGTGACGGGCGTAACTAAGTTACCTATGTCATATGAATAATGGTGACATTTATCTATTTAAACACATAAATATTGGTTCAAAGGGGCACCAGATATTTATGCGCCACACAAAACAATGAGATGGTAAGAGAAAAGGGGTAAGGTGCATATATTAAAAAAGAAAAAAAAGAAACAACAAGTACTACAGAGTGTATGTTAGTATAATAATAAGAGTAATAATGAGAGAAACAGAAATATACAACTAGAAGAACTCTTTCAGTTAAGGAAGTTATGACCACTTTTTATGAAGAAAGTAAAAGAATGTCACAACAGGATCGTCACTGACTTCTATTCTGACCCATATCTGATAACGTCTCTATCCACAGTGTCGTACCATTTCTTGAACCCCCAGACAGAGAGTTGTGAAAGACCAACAGAAGCTAGTGTTGTACAGTTTTCTTTCATACCACGATACCATGTCATACACTGACCACCTCTCCGCTTTTTCCAACTAGTCCCAGCGTCGGCAAATAATGAACGATGTGAAATTCTCTGAGACGACATTCGTAGGACATGTCAAGTCACCGAAGTTGATGTTTCAAGATGGTGACACCAATTAAATTATCGTTTCTGCGCCCAAACACACGATACCGAACCTCTGCATTATTAACATGGTGTTACCACTGGTTGTCAGCAATCCTTCGAAGATAACGATGATCGAACACAACAAGTTGTCTAATATCCTCAAATTGGAAAGACTAGATTTTACAAGCATAGAGCAAAATTGCTCTCACCGACGCGCTGTAAATCCGATTTTTTACAGCCAGACTAACATCACGAAGGAGCCAAAGATGGCTCAGATTGGCATAAGCCACCTTGACTTTCATTATACATACATCGATCTTATCATTTACGTTACCATCAGCACTTATGTAGACATGTTTAAGCCACCGAAGTTGGTGTTTTAAGATGATGATACCAATTAGAAGTCAACCCTTTACACCTTATAAAATATAGTCTAATTAATTTGTATTGATTCTATATCATTCTAATCATTCATATTTAATCTTCTCTGTAATCCTTTCTATTGCTTTTATCTATTTATAGGAATTATTTAATTATACTATACCACCATATGAATTAGATATGAATGGTCAATTACCATGGAATGAATTAAAATCAACTAATTTGAATAATTTAGGTGAATTATTTAAAGGATTTATTTATTATTATACAAATGAATTTAATTTTAATAAATGGGCTATTACAATACGTCATAATAGACCATTCATGAAAAATATAACTATGAAACAATTGACAATTTATGAACAAAATTATATCATGAATAGAAATTGTAAAATTTTTATTGAAGGTAAGTGAATATCTCTATATTGTATATATTATTGATTTTGATGTAAATGGTCTGGTGTGGTCGAGAGTGGGGAGGCCCCGCCACTTTTATACAGCATCCGCTATGGAAGTCCTCAATGCCTTTTCGTGGCGGGAATGTTGCTTACGAAATTGAGAGGAAGAAAAGTGAATGTCCAACGCTTTATCCGGGTCGGTCGACACGTTGAGTCCACCTACGGAAGTTGGAAAACCCTGATTCCAAACTAATGGTGCACATGAGCTCCAGTATCTTGAAGAAACAAATGGCGTATGAATCAATCGTTGGTCACCGGCTACCATGGGACTGTATCTCCCCACGATCATCCAATGTCTTGTGGATTAGACCTTTAGGTAAAAGACTCCGGGTGTGGCCCCCTAAGGAAACCGCCTGCTTCGGTCTGTGCACCCGGGCAGTATCACAGCTACTAGTATTCGATCATAGGTGTCTTCGAAGCATTGCTCGTACATCCTGGGACCACCGTGTAAGTAATGCAATCGTTAGGAAACGGGTACTAGGTAAGGATGGCAAATCGATTGGTGAAGTAGTGAAACTTTATCAGTTAAGATGACTGGGACATGTGTTACGTATGCCCATCCACCGACTGCCCCGACGTACGATGTTTTGTAGTGTAAAGGTAGGTTGGAAGATAGCTAGGGGTGGCCAGACCAAAACATGGCATAAATCCATGAAGTCACTGACAAGTAAACTGGGCCATGTTGGTAGGTGCAGACTACCTGGTTCGGATTCGCGAGATGATACCAATCGATGGTTAGTGACCTTGAATAACATGGCTCAAAATCGTTTGCAATAGCGTCCACTGTTTGTGTTTTACCAAATTCTAATCTTCTGAATTCTTCATGTGTCTTTCTATTTTCTTTTTCCAAATTTATTTCACTGGATTATACTCTATGTATAACATCTTCAAACCCTTATCTTTCACATAATACTTATACTCTTACTACTTCTACCACTATGGGATTTGCATCGACAAATGCATCTCTGTATTAATGTGGTATGGCAACTCGAACTAATGTACGTACGTACGAAGTTCTACGTTGTGACTGACTGACGTTTGCAAAATGTCAATCAATCGTCTCAGAACTCATTGTTCTTTCAAGTCCACATCAATCATTCTTTTTTCTCATTCTCTTTTTTTGATCTTCTCAACCTTCCGCCTCCAAATATTTCACTTTCCATTGATGATACATACTACTCATAACTGTCGACATCAGTAGCACATACTACACTATGAACATAAAGCGGATTAAATAATACAACACTATGTACTTGTATTTGTCACAATATCATTCAAGCATTTTTAGTTCACTTTGAATTCTCTTTTTGGAGTTTAATTGATAGTTTCTTAATTTGATTAAAGAGAATTTCATATTTGAACGAACTTGATGTAAGTTAAGGGTGGTCATTGGAATTGTTATAGTTTCGAAAAGACCAGATTTGGTCCCTTTGATTAGGTTGTTTATTAAGGGACTTATTCGAGAGATTAATTATTTCTTTTATCAATAACACAGTGACCATTAAACCACTTGATTTTCAACTATATGGAGTTATACATCCGAAATGTTCTCCATGTAATTTAATTTGAGGTTACCGGTTATTGTCATCAACCTTTACATGTAAACAGAAGGATTCAAACTGGACCATATAAATATGTATTTGATAGATGAGTAGTTACCTCAAAACTTCATTCGAAGTGTTACTTGTCAATACTGATGGTTATGAAAGAAACGAAATATTTTCTTTTTTTTTAAAGGCAGTAACCGACGTTACCATATCATCCAACTGATAGTGTCATTTTGAGTTGAATAAGTGTTGTTACGCCTATAGATCTATTGATGTACAATATTCCATCAAATGCTCTGGTACTTCAAAGGGTGGGGAAAGTCAGATCTGCTCTTGAAATGCTCTCCTATGGCCACTGTGAAGAAAGTTCTACTCACAGCGTTATCTTAGCAGGTATTGCTTACAAAATTGAGTGGACGGAAAAAGAATGTCTGCCTTGAGCTTAAACAGGGTTAGTGGTCACGCAGCATCCATCTAGAAGGGAGGTTGGAAACCCTGATTCCAAACAAACATTGCGCATGGGCTCCAGTATTTGTAAGGGGAAAAAGTGGTGTATGAACTCATTCATGGTCACCAGCTACCACGAGACCTCATTCCCTAATGTTGATCCACTGTTTAATGGATTAGATCTCTGGGTCAAAGGTTCAGAGAATGGCTCTCTAAGAAAACCACCTGGTAGTATATCTCAACTTTTACATATTTCAAATGTAATTCATATTCTTTAGTTAATAAATTTCTAAATTGTGTTATTATCCTCTTCTTTTTCTTTCACCATAACAACAATAATGAATCAATTTAGAACCATTCTCTCAAACAAATGCTGCACGTTCAATACACTCTGATAATATTGTATCATATATTAAACAAGCATTTATTAAAACAAATGAAATTCTATCTAATCAATGTCCTTTAGAATCAATTATGGAACTAGGAATCAATTGATTTTGATTGTTTATTATAAAGAAAAAAATACCCAAAAAAAATCGATGAAGAATGCTGATGGGCGGTGTCTGTGCTCCTCCACGAGGGTTAACGGCAGTAAGTAAATTAGTATGTAATATACTAAACTTTGTATTATATCTTTCTATTAGTCTACAGACTGTCGTTGATCAGGAACTAATTCTTATAGAACTCTTGTTTCTATCTACTTTGCTTTGTATAGATAAATTTTTCAATTTTTTTTGGGGGGGATTTTTATCAATGCAAGTTGGATGGTATTCATTGAATTCTTTCATTGTCATATATGAAAGATTCTTTCATTTGTATTTCTTTAGTTTATATAGAAAAAGATTGTACATATCTCTCTTTATTCTGTTCAACTTGATCATTGAACTAATAAGTTCACTTGTTTGTTTTAACTTATTCATTTCCGTATTTTTTTTGTTGTGGCGCGAATTCAAATTTCTAATAATCGATTATTTTTCTCTATCGAATAATCCACTGATGATATTTAAAATAATAACAATAATAAAAACAAATCATTTATGATCTTTCTTTTTGAAGAAGTGAATCTGGTGTGTAGTGGTTTATCTGTCGATTTGTATATCACAGGTTCCAAACCATCCGCTTCAACCTACTTTGGTTGTACTTGTCCCATCCTTGTACGTAACTCCCCAACAGTGCCCATCCAAGACCCCTCACTCGGGAATTGAACCCAGGAACTTTGGTCTCGTACGTGAATTCCTAGCCTCCAGACCACTGAGTTGGGATCCAACGTTTTTACTGTCTAACGTTTATCAATCTAATATTAGTCTAACTTAGATCAGAAGGGGTTTTGTGGAGATTTAGAATTTTCATAGTTGAAAGCGTGAGTCAATTGAAGCTGGACCACCATGGAAAACCTGGAAATATTGGACGGCCATTTCGTTCTATTATGTTACTCCTCAGTAGCAGTGCGCATCCACGATCCCGCGAGATTCGAACCCAGGACCTATCAGTCTCAGTTCATGATTTCAATGGAAATCATGGAGAATTTTGAACTCTTAAATTAATTAATTAACAGTACAATAGAAAAAGTATAATAAAACATTAATTAGATTTATTAAAATGGTACTAATAACAACTAATGAAATTATCGATTATCCTATCAATTCATCATTCCGCTACACATGACAGACAAGCGTATATAACTATGGTTTATTAACATGTATCCCGTGATGCTTTAATGTGTTGAACCAGCTTTATCGATTGTTTGCAAGCGTGGACTATTTACACCACTATTTAAATTCGGTGTAGTTTGTGGACGTTTTGGTGAATGAATTGGTGTTTTACTCAATTCTGATAAACCACTCGTTATAATAGATCCTGGAGCTGGTAGATCACCTGGTTTTCCAGTTAAATTAAATAATCTTGGTGGATTCGGTCGTGGAGGTGGTAAAACTTTTTTACTCACTGATTTGCTGTTATCTATTTGCTCTATATTCTTCTTCATAGGAATAATGGATAATTGCGGTGATTTTGTTGTTGTTGATGTACTGCTAACAGTTTCAGTGACTAGTTTTGTTTTCCAATTGTCATTATCATCTTGCTTTATAGATGGGATTGTTGAAATTGAACTAGTATGATATGGAAATATGATATTTGTTTTATCTGGCCTTAAGAAAACCTAGAAAAGAATTGTTTACTGGAATTAAATACATATCATAAACATATAGCTTAACATTTAAGAAACAATATTCAACATAAATTCATTTAGTATTGTTTGTTTGAATCTTCCCATCAATGTGTTAGGACTGCAACTGGTCAGTCTCTAATTGGCATATATGCATACTATGCGTATTGCCTCGATATAGCCTTAATTCACAAGCAGTGTACTGGGTTCGAGTTCCAGAGTGAACATCGACTCTGAGATGCAGGTACATCCAGCTGACGCGTCCTAGATTCCACTGCTAGCCAATATCCATCTCTGTTTAATATTCAACATAATTTAAGGCACTTCATTTTTATTTATTTATTAAACACATAAATATTGATACAAGGAAGCACCAGATAGATATGCGCCACACAAAACTCATTTCATTTGTGTGAGGGCTGTGATACTGCATGGGTGCCTAAACTGAAGCAGGTGGTTTTCTTAGGGGACCACACCCGGAGCCTTTGACCTAAAGATCTGATCCACAAGGCAGTGAAGCATCGTAAGGAGATGCAGTCACATGGTAGTAGGTCACCAACGATTGATTCATACGCCATTTGTCCCCTAAGGATACTGGAGCCCATGTACAACACTGAGTTGGAATGAGAGTTTTCTAACTTCCCTAGGTTGACTTTCCGTGTCCACCAACCCGGTTAAAGTGTCGGACATTCGCTTTTCGTCCTCTCAGTTTCGTACAGAACACCCCCGCCACGAGAAGGCAGTGAGTCGGACTTCCCTGACAGAGGTTATATACGCGTGGCCCTGTGATATCATTTGAATATAGGGAGAGTGGACTCTCCCCACTCTCGGTCGTACCAGGGCATTTGGGGGCAATTTAAAGCATAGTACTGTATAATGTTTTGAAATCCGATTCATATTGATTGATCACTGAGTGGTAAATGATCAGTGTCGTGTTTGTCTACTCCACAATCCTGGTTGAATTCTATCGATCAGATTGAAATGTGACAGCAGACAGCTTCATTGCCGTCAAGACCGATGGTGCACTTTTTTGACAGGTGTTAATTAACGCGTAAAGTAAGTAAAGGTTTGTTTCCAATTACCTAACATCAAAATCTAACTTACATAAGATCAGTAATTTCATATTGGTCCATAGTGTTTGACAAAGGTTGTGTCACATTAGGTGCATGAATGTGATCACTCATGGTCTTAAGTCGGTTTTAAATAACTCATTATCAAAATTTAAATTTGCTGGAAATCCTGTGAATTGTCACCCTTTAAACATTCATTAAAAAAAGCTTATTTATGGATCACTAAAGTAAACTAGTTAAAGTTAAGCATTGGCTGCATCACTGTCGATTCATTGTGTATGTATTTATCCATATCATATAAAATAGTTAGCTGATGGAACGTTACTACTTACTATTAACAAGTAGTGCAAATTAAAAATATAAAATAATTGAACACATTGAAACTCATTAATTCAGAAGGGGTTTTGTAGAGATTTTAGTAATTTTTATAGAGTTGAGATCACGAGTCAATTGAAGCGAGAGTGGGTTTGTGGATGCGCACTGCTGAGGAGTCCCATAATAGGACGAAACGGCCGTCCAGTGCTTCCAGGTTTTCCATGGTGGTCTAGCTTCAAATGCATTCAGTTTTTAACTGGTGTTGATGTCAACTAGGAAACTTCTGTAACCAACAAACGCTCATTATTTCAATTTTTGATCTTAGTTTCAGATATTTTATCAGAATAGTAAATATATATTATTCCTGTAGCTTAATAATGTCGTATTAATTATCAGATATGATTTATTGAGTTTTCTGAAATCGGTTTGCCCTTAACTTAATCTGCCCGACCGTTGCTGCTACCTTGACGTGGTGGTCGGGCTTGCCTATCGTGATGATCCAATCGAGCTATGCTGGCTGGAACAATCGTTCCTCAAGGTCCTATCATGCCAGGCACGTCGGTTGAAGAGCGGTAAGACTAAAAGCAGTAAACCCAAGGTCCGAAGGCGAAGTTGTACTGCCGACTGTACAGAGGTGTGACAGCAGTAAGGTGTTTTCTTCAGACAACCAGCATAATAGCGATGCTGCCTTTCCACAAGGAGGGGTGGGGTTGGAAAAGGTCGACCCTAAAAATGCACACCTCGCCTTATCTTACGGAATTCCGTCTCCGGCAGTAAGGTCCCAACAAGTTCGGAGCTAAGAAAAAGATTACCCACAAAAAGGTCGTGTGTGACCGACCTCAAGCAGTTGTCCCTTGGGCACTGCAGTCACGCTCTCAGGTCATTAAGACCACTTCTAACCCAATTTCTTTTTTTCAGGGACCTCTAGAAGAACGCTTCCACAGTGTGGGCAACTGGGATGTGGTTACTGCCCTCATACCTCTAACAGCACTCAAAATCACTCCTTCTAATCTGTGCTGATCTGCATTATCCGGTTGTTGATACATATACATCCAGCTGAGCAATCACAAATACAACGAAATGCTCTTTAAGAATTCAGCTGTTAACCACATTTAATATATTGTATTTAGCGATTATTTGGTTTCTATTGTTCTTTAGCAACTCCGCCTGTAGCTCTTCTAGAGTTACTGCCGGTCCCAAACCCGGGTAAAGGAGGAGGGTTGGGCATGCGGTTAGCGACCCCATCCCGTAGAAAAGCTAACTCGATAAAAAAAACGCTAACCAGAAAAAATAATTCAAACCATTTAAACTCTGCCCTGGGAGTTGAAGGAATAATTATGACGTCTCATGATGAAAGCCGAAATTCTTCGGAAGTCACGAGACCGATGCACCTTCTAACAACCAGAGCAACAATCTTTATAGGTACATGGAACGTCCGGACAATGTGGGAGACAGGAAAGACCAGCCAAATAGCAATGGAAATGAGGAGATACAACTTGGCAGTACTCGGAATCAGCGAAACCCATTGGACACAAACTGGACAACAAAGGCTAGGTACAGGAGAGATGCTGCTGTACTCCGGTCACGAAGGGGAAAATGCTCCACACACTCAGGGAGTTGCTCTAATGCTGTCCAAAGAAGCAAGAAATGCACTTGTGGGATGGGAATCTCATGGACCCAGGATAATCAAAGCATCATTCAGAACAAAGAAGCAAGGGATCACAATGAACGTTAACCAATGTTATGCACCCACCAATGATAGCAACGACGATGATAAAGATCAGTTCTATGAAAGGCTGCAATCAATTGTAGCAAAGTGCTCACGAAAGGACCTGACCATCCTGATGGGAGATCTAAATGCTAAAGTTGGAGTGGACAACACAGGATATGAAGATATAATCGGACGACATGGACTAGGAGAAAGAAATGAAAATGGGGAGAGACTTGCAAACCTATGTGCTTTCAACAAATTGGTTATAGGCGGTACAACATTCCCACACAAACGCATACACAAAGCTACATGGATCTCACCGGACCACACCACAGAGAACCAGATAGATCACATCTGTATCAACAAAAAATTCCGAAGATCAATGGAAGATGTGAGAACCCGGAGAGGAGCTGACATAGCTTCAGATCACCACCTGGTTGTGGCCAAGATGAGACTGAAGCTTAAGAAAGACTGGACAACTGAACAAACAGCACTACAAAGGTATAATACAGCCTTCCTTCGAGATGCTGACAAGCTCCAAGAATTCAAGATAACTCTCAACAACAGGTTCCAAGCTCTACAGGATCTACTGAAAGAACAAGAAACTACTTTGGAGGACAACTGGAAAGGGATAAAAGAAGCACTAACTTCAACGTGTCAGGAGGTTCTTGGTCCTAAGAAGCATCATCACAAGGAATGGATCTCTCTGGGAACCCTGGACAAAATTCAAGAAAGGAAGAACAAGAAACTAGCAATTAACAACAGCCGAACACGAGCAGA